CTATGTGACAAAATAGATACCATTGTCCATCCATCCATCCATCCATCCATCCGTCCATTTTCTATACACGCTTCTTCCTTTCAGGGTCACTGGTGCCCATATCCAGCAGTCACAGTGCGAGGGGTGGGGCACAGCCTGGACAGGACACAAGTCCAGCACAGGGCCTACATTGTGTGTATTATGCCAAATTTCTTAATTATTAGATGTTTTTATCTTTTTGTTTGTGTACAAATCACTTCTAAGGCACTTTAAAACTATTCAAASTACAGTTTTAAATCAGTGTTTGATTTAGTCATTTGACCATTTTTCACTCTTCAAGCTCAGCAGGCTTCATCAAATCAGCCTTCAACATCTCCTCGTCCTCTTTAACCTCCACTTCTATCCCRTCCATCGTTTTCTGCAGCTCTTCCTTGATCCTGTTCAGCTCCAGCAGTCCGTCCTGCAGGTCCTTACAAACTTCACGGATCTTAGCCGCGAACTCAGTCTTGGCTCCCTTCTTCAGCTCCATWGAATCCTTTGCCAGGAAGAACACATCCAGGGCCAGGAAGAGGCCTGACATCACTCCGGTGGTGACACTCATCACCTGCGCGGCTTTAGCAGCACCGCCGGCGACGCCRAGGACCTGGACCGTGTTGATCAGAGTCTCCGTATTGATCACTAAAGCCTTGCCTGCTCGCCCGCCCTCCTTCATCACGTGTTTGACGTTTTGGTTGAGGTGCTTTTTTGAGATGCTTTCGGCATACTTCTCGAAGTTCCAGTCCTCGAGTGTCTCCATTCCTTCCTTTAAGTTAGATACRAGTATACAGAAGAAAAAAAAGGCAGAACATGAAAAAAAGTTCTTCACTCCCTGAGCCTTGTTTGCAATACTCTGGATGTTATTTGAGCAGATAGTTTTCTTAGTTTGATGAGTTTTAACAAAAATGTTGAACTGCCTTTGCCTTGCCACTAGGTGGCAGAAACATTCACAATAAAAATAAAACAGCAGATGTAGGGATAGGAGATGTTAACTCTGCCAAAAAAACCCTGAATTTTAAACAACGTGGTAGTAATGTAGATGTGATTATTTTAAAGATATTCTGAATTAGCAGGCTGACAACAATCTTTCCTGCTTGCTGTGTGTTATGTCTAGCTTGCAGAGCATTTTCTTTGAACATTTTTCTGAATGTGCAATATTAATTTTTATGGATTTGGTTAGCTGGTCTCGGAAGAAATTTGATCAGGAGATATGGAATCGATTTTGGAGAAACTGATAGCTCGGTGAAAATGCCCATACTAATTTGTCTGATTGGATTTGCCACCGGGATGTACCAGCGGACATTAAGGCAGAAGAAAAAGTACTGTCTGCTTGACCAAAAACATTTTCTTGCTGATCCATTTGATTCAGCCTTGACGCGCTGACTATCCCAAATTCTTACTGATGGTATGCAAACAAGATGCYCCTCATCCAAACTCCTGCGGCTTCGACTTAGGCTCAGTGCTGACTAATAAACTTTATTCCATCCGTCAGGACAATGGCAGAATGTTACGTAGGCCATGATACACAGGCTTACATTACATTGCTCACATGTACACACACATTACAAAGACCACACATCCCCTACACTGCACCGTCTCCACCGGTAAATGTTTTTTTGTGTGTCCCCTGCTCTATTGCACAGGTCTTCTTCTCTGTATTCTGTATGTTTGCTTGTTGCAACTTCGTGCTGAAAGGCAATTGCCTTCTGGGACTTATCAAGCACATATATTGCACAGCCATTACTTTTGTGCAGTTTGTTATCTTATTACTTAGTATAGTACTGTATGCAGGTTACTTAGTTACACTTAAACCAGTAACAGCCATCAATGATTAGTACCATGACTACAAACCCAGAGGTTATTAAACAAAGTATGTTAAATTCTACTGCCTATTGTGTTGCCTTGGATTATACTGACTATGTCTTAGATTACAAGGACTATTCACCTATCATGTTATGTCTATGATTTCTTAAATCATGTAAARCACTATGTATTGCCTTGCTGCTGAAAAGTGCTAWATAAATAAAGTTTACCTTACCTACCTACAGGTATATCAAAGTTCACTCCAACTGCTGATGTTTGGAGTTAGATTTTTTTGCATTATAAATGCATAAATATGKTACACTAAAACTGAAGACCTGGTCGTGTCCCCACCTGTAAGAACTCCAGGCACTCTCTGATATCCTTGATCTCTGCCTGGTAATCATGGATCATCTTCTCTACTTTCTTGCGGTCCGTCTTTGAGTGGACCGTGTCAGTGATGTTAGCCGATGCGGACGTCACGCCACCGGCCGTAGCGATGCCGATGCCCACCGCTGTGACGATGAGCGACGTTCCCGCTGTGAAGGGGGCCAGAATGAGACCGGTGATGGTGGTGACAGACCCCGCGACGCTTGCCATGCCGCCGCCCATGCTGGCCGTGACCGTTTTCTTGTGGAAGTTGTCGGCCGAGTCGGCCAAGGCGAGGAGCACCAGGATGCGCTGCTGGAGCGAAGCGCCGCGCTGGTTGAAAAAGCGAACGAAAAGACGCGCTGCCATGAAGACTCGGTCGGCAGCTTCTTCAACCACTCTGATGGAAAACAAAAGGCAAATCATGTCAACCGCAAACACCCAAGAGTGTGCAGATAATCACAATTGTGTTCTATAAAAAGGTAAAATCTATTTAAATCATCTAAAACTGCATGCAAATAATGAAGTATTCTGATAATTTTAGGAACTATTTAGGCCAAAAATACTTYAGTTTACATACTCTTCAGCTTCTTCATCTTTTTTTGCCTCATTCCACTCATCCCATCCTAAAACGCAGACAATGTTTCATGGTTAATGCTATATAGTTTTAACTGCAATAAAAAGGATTACTAAAAAACAATMAATCGGACAAACCTTCAACGGTTTTCCACCATGCCCAAAGACCCTCATCATCCTGGAAAAAAACCATTTTATTTCCCTCAAGCGTTTTTTAAGTGAGAGTCATTTTATTACAGAAAAACATTAATAATGCACTGCTAAAGAAACAAACATACATGCAGAGGGCCCAGTAATGTCTTGTCACCAGGTACCGGTACTTCAGCTAATTGGAGTGTCTGAACTTGAACAGTCTCCTGGTCAGAGAAATGCTTCACATCAATATTCAGAGAACAAAACACAAAAAGAACTGGAAAAAAATAGATGTCCATCAAATGACTTGAATGAGAATTTAGCTCATGTCTAAATTACAGATTAATTTAGTATCTCCGGCTTTTAACTGAACAGGCTCCCCAGTTTGATCTGAGCTTGGAGTCTTTGAGCAGCTGACAACACAATCACTGTTATCTGGGGTTGGGATCGCAGGGATTGATTTTAGCATGATTGTCAGCGGAACAAAAAAAAACAATCAAAAACTATTTTTGCATTATTTTTACATCCGGATTTGTAATCCAGGGCGGGATCAGAGGCAGCTATGTACACGCGTGATTCATTTGTAATGTGGACACAGAGTGGTGTGATCATTTAATGAGCAAACAGCTTATTTTGCTGTTGCTGTTGAATCTAGTTTTGAGCTTCTGGTACCTCCAGGTGCTGCCAATCAGGTGCTCCGTGTAAAATTTGTTACCAAGATACATTGTTACAACAAATAATCTACCAAACACTAATGCCCTTACTTTTTGTGCTAAGTTCATATAACTACATTGACAAGTTGTAATGTACAAATATAAAGTTTCCACACGGCATAAAAAACTTGAAGTCATCAAAAYCACTCATCAGGACAAAACAGTGTAATATTTTAGACAATCCTAAAGAGGTCTACACTGAAATTTTCATCAGTTGACATAAGTTTGTTCAAATGTTATAGTGTGATTGGGCTTTTTGTGGTGAATTTTTTGCACTATCGCCAGAAAAATCACAACAACATCAGGAGCAGAGACAAAATGGGTTAATGCAAATTCTAGGTAAAGTGTCTGAAACACAAGGAATTCAGGACATGGCTGCAAGTATTTACAGGTTGGTTCAAAATGTTACAGTGAGGTTCATTACCTGCAACAAGATATATAAAATCTATCCTGTGATGACCTTGTTTAAAAATCTTTACCTCTAACATGTTACAAGCTTCTATTACTGGTAGGAAGCATTCCAACATTTATCATCATCGCTCTGCTAACTGCAAAACATGATCTGAGATACAGTAAGGAGAGACTGGGTTTTCTCCAATAATGGACCCATTTCATAGAACTTACAGAACTTTAAATCTTTATTTGCATTAAAACTTTGTCATTAAGTACGGAGGCTGCGAGGGGACACGGGAGATTTTTTTTCTTTTGCGTTCCCACGCAAAAGTCATCTATCACAGTTGTGCCTGCCGGTTTATTAACAAATTCACATGTTCACCATTAGTGAGTTAGCYTWCTGCTTTAATTCAGCTTCAGAATGAATATATCACACAACCACACATGGAAATATGTCATATGCCSATATTTTAACACAGTGCAGCCACACAACATCATGTCAGTTTCACGAACTTGTGTCGACACATCCTGTTTTGGTAACCGGATATTTCAAAATAAAAGTCTGATTTAATTCAGTTCATATACAAAACAAACTTTTGTGGAACGCAAAACGTYTTGCGTGGTAACTCAATGGTATTGCATGGGAACGCAAAAGAAAAATAAATCCCCACATGTCCACCCGTGTGCTCCATAATTAAGTAACCTTGGATCATGTTTTTTATCCCCTTCATACATTTTTTGCATTATTCAATCAGGTTTGCCTTATTTTTTTTCCTTGTAACCATCATAACCAACATTACCAGTTCTAGCTGTAATCAAAATTACAGCTTTAAATAAATTTGGCTGAAGCTTTAAATAGCAAACAGGAAATAAAGCCACATAACGGTATGCTGGTATAAGTAAAATATTTATAACTAAATTTTTACAAGTCGGCATAAGTTGTTACGGTGTGACCGAGCCTTAACTGGATTTAAATCAAGCAGAAGTAAATAAAAACCGGGCCACTGTTGAAACATTTCTTTTATTTACAGAAAATAATTGATAGGGCAAATCATTTCCCCAAAACTTATTAAAAAGTCTAAAAATCAAAGTGTGGGAATATCTAACATTTTATAAACAAGGGCCATCCACATGTTCCAGGCACAATGCCTGAACTATAATTTTGTTGGTTTTTTTAATTAGTATTAAAAGGCATTTGAAGAGGAAGCAAAGCATCTTTTCTGTCTTCCATTATCAACACCAGGGGAATTGTGTTTTCCCCCCTTAGACGTCATTTTAATTTATTTTTTATTCACTGTAAACTCTTGTTTAATTCTGCCACAGAACAGTGCAAACAGAGCAGTTTCACATATCGCTACAGAATAAATTCAGCTCTAAGTTTAACCTTTACAGTTAATTATCCCACGCACCACT